GAAATTTTCGCTAAAAAGATTCGGTAACCATACTAGTACCCCTAACTCAATGTGGACTGTTGCATATCAAATTCGTTGATCTAGTCCACTATTGTCTAGTCTAACCAAGACAATTAATTGTTTTCAGCAAATTAAGTTCATGAATTATGTTGAAATAAAATTATTGATCATTAATCAATTTTGGATGTTATCGATTTGCATATCATCTCTTGAGTCTTGAGTGAATCTAAATTAATTCATGATTGTAGGTGTAAGGGGTAGAACCCTCTACTAAGAATTTTGGTTTGACCTGGGTTAACCCACACGGGCGACCCCTCAGTAATATTTACCTCTCTTCGCCAATAAGACCCTTTCCTAAGGCAATCCCACATCGGAAGAGAGTCGTCTCCCCCTGCCATATAAGTGAACACTTCCTATGGAGGAGGTACCCACTAGGCACCTGATCAGGTCGTTAGTGGGTACCTCCTCCATAGGAAGTCCTCTACTAAGGATTTCGGCTTGATCCCACATCGAAAGAGAGTCGTCTCCCCCCCTGCCATATAAGTGAACACTTCCTATGGAGGCGACCTGATCAGTAAGGGGTAGAACCCTCTACTAAGGATTTCGGCTTGACCTGGGTTAACCCACACGGGCGACCCCTCAGTAGCTTTTACCTCTCTTCGCCAATAGGACCCTTTCCTAAGGTAATCCCACATCGGAAGAGAGTCGTCTCCCCCCTGCCATATAAGTGAACACTTCCTATGGAGGCGACCTGATCTGTAAGGGGTAGAATCATCTACTAAGGATTTTGGCTTGACCTAGGCCACACGGGCGACCCCCCAGTAGCCTTTACCTCTCTTCGCCAATAGGACCCTTTCCTAAGGCAATCCCACATCGGAAGAGAGTCGTCTCCCCCCCTGCCATATAAGTGAACACTTCCTATGGAGGAGGTACCCACTAGTGAGCCGAAATCCTTAGTAGAGGGTTCTACCCCTTACAGTAGGAGGGATTACCGATTAATATCATGAGCACTAGTCAGACAAATTATTATTTTTTTTTTGAGGTTAGGCATTATTACAGAAAACGGAGACGACGAAGTTCAAACTCGTGACTTTAAAGTCCGACAACATAACGATAGTTATTTAACCAATTGCAAACCTCAGACAAACTAATTAAACAATTAAATTAGAAAAGAAAAAAAAAAAGAATTGCAAAATTTAGATGTTAAATTCGAGAACAATGTTGTAGTAGTGGAAGGATGATTTCTCAAATCAAAAAGACAAAATGGATGTAAACATGTGATCACGTGCACGATCATCCTATGGAATGGAAGGACCGCTTCTAAAGTTTATTCCTTCTTCTGCAAGTAAACATCAACAAGCTTTTCGTTTTTTTTTCTCTGCGTTATCATCTGAAAGGAATAAATTACTGGAATGAACTTTAATATCTTTTTTTTTTTTTTTTTTGTTACCACGTTGTTTAAGTTTACACTGATTACTATCTCTTGAGTTTTGAGATTAACCACTGTAAGTTGAGCTAGTTTAAGGACACATCTCTTGAAGAATAATAAGGGTGATTGACTCTCAGAAAATATGAAAAATATCGAGTCTAAGACCTCTTACTTACAAAAAGACAAATGTGACCACTAAACCACCGGTTATGAACTTTAATATCCTAAATAGTGAACAGTAAAGCTTTAAAACAAGTGGGATATTCTATTCTCACACACTTATGGGAAAGCATTCTTTAGGAAAACTATAGATCATTTCCACATTTTGTAACCTTGATTCTGCATGAGCAGCTTAAAAGCTTAGTCTACTTAGAGGTGAATAAAATGAATTTTGATCCGGATTTCTATTCGATTAGTCAAGTATAGATTGATATTGATGACCGATAACCCGAATTCGAAGTCATTAGAAAGAATTTGATGGAGTAAACATCCGATCCATTATTATTGGAATTCACTATGATATAATTTAGTGATTATTTGTTGAATACGAGTTAAGATTCATGTATACTTCTTTAAAATTCAACCTTAAATGAGTCATTTAGATCATATAAAATTTTTAGTTTTTTTAATGATTTTAGATATGTACTACGAATACAAAAAGGTGATGGATGTTTGGAACGGATTCGCATTTAGTCGAAATTCAATCCCAATCTGATTTGTTGACAAACTTACTTAGAGAGGGCAATTTGATTTATTCTTAATTCAATTTATCCTATGTTGGGTTAATGTCGAAGAAAGTGTGAAGCAAAACTTTATAGGGTAGGCTACATAAGTACATATAAACAAAAAAGAAGGGTCTACATAAGCATGATGGTGAGTGAGCAACAGCCAACAAGTAGCCCCTCTCAAAGCAATACATAATGAATTAGGACTAAACAGACTAACAAGACATAATTACCTGTTAAATAATCCCACAACAATTCTCAGGTATGAGACCAAAGTTTTTATTATTATTATTAATCCGGCAATGCAAGAAACTTAAAGTTCCCACTATTTTTTTTTATTACTATCAAGGGTGTCTGGACTAGGTTAACGGTTCAGTCAAAAGCAGACAATTCACACCCGAATTAAGGAATTTACGAGTGATAAATCCTTCATGCTCTGAGTGTAAGGAAGTTGCCAATATTTGAACTCAGGATGTCTAAGTTAACTGTCCATCCCTATCTCCACTAAATTACTCCACTTTTCTACATAACTAACTGAACAATAATATTTGAACCCAATTTACTGACATAATTAGCTAATCTAATGCATCAAAACCATTAAATGAGTAATAGATCCCAACTAATACTAACACCCATTGTTAATCCAATAGAATGATTAATTACGCCTGTCCAAATATCATTTTTCTATAACTAAAGAGAAGCCACATTACCAAACTATGATATGAAAGCTAACTGAAAGCATCTCTCTTGGGTGCTGTCCCCTGTTGTCTCTCTGTGTTCTTGCTTCTTCCTTTTCTCCTTTTCTTTGCATGTTAGCCTTTGCTCATTTAGGTCCCAGATCTATACATTAATGCACTGGCAAAGCACTCAGGTTCAGTAAAGTGCAACCTTTTTTAGGCACTATTCAAGGTGGTAGGCACAGTTTGGATGATAACTCTTTTATTTATTTATTACAAGCATTCCAATACTCATTTGGAGCCTATAGTTGTGTACAAAACTATTACTTATAGTAGAGTTTCAGATAGTGGTAGACAACCTTATCTTTTAAGTAGAGGTTGATTTCTAGAAGTGAACCCGTTACATGGATAACGAGTGTGAGAAAGTAGTAAGGGAAGTGGATTAAAAACCCGTGGCGATAAATTATGAAAATATTTGATGTTATAGGGATGTGATTTATGGGTTATATATTTAAAAAAAAATGAATTCTTCACATTATCAAACTTTGACATTCTCTAACGGTACGATAACGAATAGGGGAATCTGTTACCGATAACCAAATTAGAGGGGATGTGATTATGCATACTATTGGAAGTTTCATTTTTATATGGAAAAATGCAGGGGAGGTGAATGGAATTAACCTTAGAAAAAAATTAATAATATATAGGACAGCATCTGGGGTCCATATAACATCATCTATCTAGGTCAGGTTTTAATAACTTAATAAGTATTATATTCAGTTAAGCCATCCTTTCATTGACAAATGATGGTAGTTAGGAGTTGGAAAGCATCCTCACTTGATCATCACTTCATATTATAATTTATGTTTAACTAGCCAAAACTTCATCTTCATGATGTTCTGAATCTCTCAAGTATGGTGGCCCCACAATGAAATTGATCTTAGGCTTTGGAGAGTTGATTTATGTATAGTCGCATTTCTTTCTTTCTTTCTTTCTTTTTAGTTTAATGGTCAAGGGTATTCAGGTCAATTTAATATTTTGTTTAATGTTCTCCTCGGTTCGATCAAAGACAGTTCATCTACACCGAGACTAAAGAATTCACAAGGGATAAAATCCCACTTGACTATGCCCTAGAATTGCTAAAATTCGACCCCAAAATATTTTGATTTATAGTTCGCCCTTAATTACAACTTTAACTACCCTCGGAGTTGATCCTATTTTTTTATAAGTAGTGCTACACTGATCAAATTTTGAGATTAAATTTATAGCCCAAATGACATGACAGTTGATTATTTGAAGTTTTTATTAGGGCCCAAATGATATGACACCAATCAAAGAAGTCCAAGTCAACTGTCATGTCATTTGAACTCCAAATTTAATCCTAAAATTTGGTCAATCTAACATTACTGTTCTTTTATTGCTCTGGTTCTCCTTTCTACTTTTCAATTCCTGAAAAAGGGAAAGTTGGAATGTAGGGACTACAAAAATGAGTTGGTTTCCTTTTCCCATCTTTATTATGACCCTGCCCTGTTCCATTAAAAAGTAGGGAAAGAGAACCTATTATGATAGCTTGGATGGTAGAGTTTGAGTAGTTATTTTCTCGAGTTTCAAGTTCGAGTGTTGAAACAATCGTACTGGTTGAGCTGATGCGTCTGATTTTCTAGTGGTTTCTACGAACATCCTGAGTTTCTTTACTTATCAACAATGAGTCCAAAGGATGGATCCGATTACCGAATGATTCTTAGTAATCCCAAAAAAATAAAAGGCAGAGCCAAGAGATTGAGCTAGAAGAAATACATCTGGTGGAGGTGTGAATTGATTGGGCTTCCTCACCACAAAAATTGTGCAATGAATTCATCAAGCATGAAGGGAGCTGAAGTCTATATGGTGATAGACATACAAGGTCACAAGAACAAGGACATTCACAAAACAAAAGAAGCCACTTACAAAACTAACAGAAAGTGTACATCATACAGATATGTGGTGATAGACATACAAAGTCACTAGAACAAGGACATTCACAAAACAAAAGAAGCCACTTACAAAACTAACAGAAAGTGTACAGCATACAGATATGTATGCTTGCAATGACAGGATGATTCAAACACAATGTGGAAACTAATTAAGAATTTAATACATTGATTCTTATTTTTTTTTGTGGCATAGCCATCATGGAATGGGCTCGGAAGTAGGCGAAGGATAACCACCATGCTTTGGATTACCAGGAGGTGAAGGCTTTGGGATATAAGGCATAAGAGGTGTGCCATGCTGAATAGGTCCAGGTCTTACTGATGCCTTTGAACTTGGAACTGGATCAATGGGGTGGTAATCTTCTAGCTCTTCATTGCCTGCACCCTTGTCGACTTTTTGAGTGTATCCAATCTCCTGCATTTATGAATGAAGAGAGGAGAGGGGAGGGGGTGCAGAAGCAGCACATTATATCCATATCAAAGACAAAGAAGGAATATATTGCTAGAGGCTTTGCAACAAACAAGATGAACTATGGCCTCGTCAGAAAACTTAGGTAGTAATTGTCACCACTTCCTGCAAGCTCAAATAAACTTTCTAAACCACTAAACATTATTGATTAAAGTGCAATGTGTACCTTCAGCTTCCTGCTTTTTATTGCGATTTCCATATCATCCCCATCGAGGGGGAAAAGCATTCCTGAGATTCATGTGTAAGAAGTTTGTAACAGCATTCAAATGAATTAGCTAGCTAAATTTGTTAAGCAATTTATCATAGTTTTAATCATCCATGATTTAGCAAGTTCATCAATATGTCCCCATCTGTCAATTCATAGAACAGAATTCTACTATCTGATACCTTCAACTAGTTTGTCTGTATTAATAGAGAAAGGAAATCCACCAAAGAAAAAGGATATCAAATTGCATTTTAGCTAGCCAATCAGGCCACAATGATTCCTTGACATATCATCCTGATCCCAAATAACTGTTGAAACATCTTCATTAACATACCAAACAAGCCCACCAAATAATTCTAGAAGATTGAGGATCATCCAGATGCATAGAAGTAGGAAAAGAGTGCAATATAAATTAAAAGAAAAAACAATATCAATTATTCAGAGCGAAGTGCAAACTGGGATATATATGTTTGTATATATATATATATATGTATATGTCAAAATTTCTCAGAATTGACGATAGGTGAACGTTTCAATACTCATTATTTTAATATTTTACTCGAAAAAGTATATTGGATTATACGCACAAAATTCGTCAGAAGTACAGTAAGTTGTAACAAAATATTCTTGACTCTTCGACAACCATATAATCTCTTCATATCCATGACCCTATATAGTTCTTTTTCATCAAGCTGCCACAATGCAGGCTCAATTTTCATGTGGTGTATTAATTATATAGGATAAAGAAAGAGGGAAAGTTCATGACTAAGTTTATTCCTATGACAGCAAATTACTTGTGATACCATTATGCTAAGAGCTAAGGACTAAGGATAACAAGAGCCTGTACCTCCCAAAAATTAGACAACCCCATAAACTAGCATGAAGACAAGGAAAAATTATGTTATTGAATAACTACTTTTTGGTACCACAACCTCGACTCAATTTCACAAAATTACGATCCAAATAGTCAAGTTACAACCAATTTTAGATCCGGATTGAGTCCCAAAATGTTACAAGGTATCGAAATCGCTACCGTACCCTTTCCCTAAAGACAAACTTAGAAACTACCATGATTCTAGAATAACATTAAGCTCAGCAAAGTGCAACATTTTGCCTACATAAAAGATAATAGAAGTTTACCAGAACTTGAGGAGGTGCTTCCTCTGTTGCTGCAGGAGAAACTTAAGCACATCAAACCTAGCCCAACCACCAAGAAACCCAAAACCTTCATAATGACAATATCAGTTCTCAATAAACAACAAAAACCCTTTTCCGTTCAAACCCTAACAACCCACAAATGACAAAAGTTTGTTTACAAAGAGAACTGTGTCTTCTTCGCAGATAATAACTAGATCTGTGCCTTATTGCCTTTAAATAGCTCAACCCATTGGACAGTTTTTCTTCACAAGCCTCTCGTCACCACCTTGAATTTCAAAACACCAAAGTCCACCAGAAAATCCGCAGAGATAAGGAGAAGAAGAGCTACACAAAGCCCATACCCATGTATTTATATATATTTCATGAACTGTTTGATTATTTTATGGTTTTTGGTGCGGTGAATCATCAAGAAGATCATGTTGGTTTTCGTTGTCTTCCATTGCTGTATCTGTATGGGAGTAAATAGAGATTATTTATTGCGTCTCTGTTTGTTTTGTGTTACAGAAACTCTGTGGGGGAGGAACGAAGGAATTGAATGCTGCAGCGCAGTGAGAAGCGAGCCATTTTGAATGCGTGCAGGCTTGAAGATTGGCCTCCGGATAGGCACGACAACACCACTCTTCCACCATTTTCAACAAAAAACAAAAATATTTCATAGCAAACACTGCACATATACCAACCTCAAATCCTACGTAACGCGAACATTTGTTGTCCTTCAAAGTTCCAACTCTTTATATCTTAAATTCGAAAAATGTTAATTTGGATGTAATTATAGACTTAATTTGGGTATTTAAATTAAAATTTAACCGTTAAATTAAAATTAGATTTTATTTAATATAAAAACTCATAACTAATTTAAGAGTTTTATACTTTGGGTCTGGAAAGATGTGTCGACTTTCACTTTATATCCTAAAAAATTATTTTTTTCACATTTTACCCTAAATGTTGCAAATTAGTTCTAATGTAACCCTCAAACTAACATTCATTTCAGATTCTATTTAAAACTTGATTCACATGCTAATCACGTATGCTGCTCTTAGGTAAAATTATAAACTCCTCATTCATATTTTTGGGTAGCATGTGTATTAATTTTTAACAAAATCTGAAACAAATATTAGTTCAAGGGTCACATTGAAACCAATTTATGATATTTAGGATGCAATGTGAGAAAAATAATTTTTGGATGCAAAGTAAAAATCAAGATATTTTTTAGAGTGCAAAGTGCAAAAACCCCACTAATTAAATATCTGCATTGAATTAGATCTATATCATATTGCTCATTTAATCTTAACCTATAATCTAGCAGTGTGAGATTACTTTGGGCCTAATTATAAATTTAAATGTCTGAAATAGATATCAGTTATCAGTTAACGAACGATTTTCGAGACAAGAGAATGACTCAGTGATAAGGGTCTATCCTTATACGTAAATAATTGCAATTTCTAACATTATTTTCTTCTCTCTCAATTTAAAAAAAAAATAGTTCAAGAATGATTACATGTATAATTAGTTTACTATGGAGGGGGTAAATTTAATGTCCGCCTATCTTGAAGAGTTTCCTCATTAAAAAAAAAAAGGAAAACTCTTCAAGAAAGGAGTCAAATTCGACTTAGCACAATCACAGATATATACCGAGTATCAAAAGTTAAACCCAAACATTAGCTCAAAGAACTCAGCTTTATAACTACGGTTCAGTGGTGAAGCTAATTTAATGTGAATAATAAGCTCTAGTGTTCTGAGTTTAATTCTCTCCGATAATTTTTGAGTTTAATCGACAACTGTGATTAGTAGAAAATTACACGTGAGTTTCTACAAATTAATCGCATGATACCATGGTATGACTTGGAAGCAGTGCAACACGAGTTTCACACGTGTGACTTCCTCAGGCGAGGGTGCCAAGAATTTTGGGCAGAAGAGTGTCACGATTGCATGGATGTGCATTGATTCTACATCGAAAATATGTTGTGAATATTTAATTTTGTGAACACGAAAATAATTCTCTTCCCAATTGCATGAAGGACAATGTTACTTGAATTTAGTTTATTGATCTTCTTTGTTAATTCAATGAATCATTGTCATTGGATTGACAGCAAATATGTCTAAATAGCATTTTCATTGCGTGAGTAACTAAAAAGAGACAAAACTTTCAAACTTCACCAACCGAACTTCCAACACTAAATTCCCCATGTTACTCTTTTCAATGGCTGTTGAAGGTGAGAGCAACAGATGAGTTGAAGAACATGCAGGTATGGAAATGTAGGACTTTCCGTCCATTCATTTTCTATTTTTTTGGGTCCAATGGTTAGGGTTATTTGGGTTAATTTATCCACATCTCAACTAATTTCTTCTCTAATCCAAACAAATATCTATGCCGGGATTAGGAAAGTTATGAGAAATAAATCTCTTACCTCACTCCAAAATATTGTCAAAATTCGAATTCAAAACGTCTGAATTTATATATAGTCCCTATTACCGCATGAACTGCCCCTTAAGTTTTATTCCATTCATGACCATCAATACTTATCCCGAATGACATTGGTGAGAAAATGATTTCTATTCTATCCATAAACCATTGAACTTTGAGCAGCATCACCAACCTCTTTGGCGGTTCGAAGGGCAAACATTAGAAAAATGACCACCTGCATTCCCCCTAGCTAGTTGCTTCGAGTTCGGGTATTCCTCTTATTAATAGTTCTTAAAAACAGCCAAGCAGTATGGCATCCTACAACCACCACGAAAAAAGGGCTATGACCCAGAATTTAAGGTCAAACGGTGAATTAGAACAGTTTCTGCTTGGGGTGGGTGGGTGTGTGTGTGAGAAAGAGAGACAGAGAGAGAAGCTAGTGATTTCCTATTGCTTAAGGTGGATTTTTATTTTATTTTCGTTATGAGAAAAATACACACCAATCAAAAAAAGTCAATGATTGAAATGGAAAGATTAGTCTCCAAAATTTTATATCATGAGCAAGTCCAACCCGAGTTAAAACTGAGTCAAACTTAAGCCGCTCGCGAGCCACCCGGATTGTTTAACGACTCTATACACAAGTTGCTCATTTACCCAATACACTCTCAATCAAATTGCTCATTTACCCAATACACTCTCAATCAAGTCTCTTGAGGCACTGGTGATTAAAAGTATTCCGCTTAGCAAAAATTATATGCAGGATCAACTGATTTGGCATTATAATTCAAATGGGAGGTTCTCGGTATGTAGTGCATATCATATTATCATGGACAAAAGCTATTGCAAGCGGCCCCAAGCAATTCATCTACTTCCTCTAGTGCTGGACATCTTAATTGAAATTTTATTTGGAATCAGAAAATGCCAAAAAAAAGTTAAGATTTTTGCCTGGCGTGTGTGTTCCAATGTGCTACCAACAACAGATAACCTACGGCGAAGGAAAGCCACAATGCATGAGAATTGTGGGGTGTGTCAAGAAGATGAAGAGTCGTTGATACACTGCCTAAGGGAGTGTTCTTGAGCCAAAGCAGTGTGGCGTCTTAGCTCATTAAAGGCAGTTGTTTGATCTGGGCAGTGATGCGTGATGTTCATCCGTTACACCCGATAACTTTTCATTGTTCCTTATTGAGTGCTGGTTTGTGTGGAGAAAAAGAAATACTCAAATTTTTGAAAATACGGTTCAAGACCCTATTGAAGTGCTGGTGAAGGCCATTGTCTATTACAGACAGTAGAGGGAGGCAGTAGTTCAATCCAGTCTTACTCCAATGCCAAATCCCAATGATGGTTGATATCCTCCGAGGGCAGGTACCTTCAAAGTTAATTTCGATGCCCCAAAATGTCTTAGGCGTGTGGGTCGTTATAAGAGATGATTAGGGTTACTTTGTAGGGGCTTTGTCTAAAAAGATGGCTATTAGTTACGTTGTTCATAAAATAAAAACTGTTGCTGCAAAAATAGCGATCCAATTCGCAAAGCAGAGTTGTTAGAAGTTATACTAGAAGGGGATTCTACGTGTTATGTGGATATATTAGGAGTTGTGAGGTGGATCTTGATCCTCTCGGCACCATCTTACAAGATATTAATTGTATAGCGAGAAGTTTTCACTACTTTGAAGTGTCTAGGATTCGCCACAATTAGAATAAAGTAGCTCATGAATTAGTTTGATTTGTTCTATCATTAGATAATAGCGTTGTATGATTGGAGAAAACAGCAGACTTTGTTACGTCTCTCATTCGACATTCCTATGTAATAAATTTTATCCTTGAATCTCAAAAAAAAAAAAAAAAAAGTGTCTTGGTATTCCTTTTTGGGTTTTGGGTAGAACACACCCAATATGTATGATATATTTGATGCCCAGTGCTCTGCTCATGGGGCTAGGCTGGGCTTGGCTGGACATAAAAAGTTGGCCCAGAGGATTTTTCAAGGCTAGGCCACTCTAAGTCCAACTATATTTTTCTATTCAGGCCTCAGTAGCCTACGGCCCAAAAAACCAGACTAGGCCACCCAGCCCACGCCCACCAGTTTGATTCCGTAACAAAAAAAAGGTACAATGAAGACAAATAAATGCAAACTTTGTTAGGCTTATAGAACACCTGCAAAACGTAATCTAGAGCAGATTGAATCATACGAAAAACATGATAATGATTCGTAGAGCTCGGTTAGGGATATTTATAATCATTGATCGTAAAAATAATCATAAATAAAAAAATAAAACAAAATTATAAATTGACTTACAATATGTCATGTCTTGACTCGGTAAGTAACCGAAATATGATACAAAAAAAACTATTTTTCGATTCCGACAACTAACCCAGTTACAATAATAAGCTGAAATTAATACAGCAAAATTTTAACAAGAAAAAAAAAAAACAATTACGCGGCTTCTGGTGTCAAAATATTCTGCCTGCATTTTCAGTCAAAAAATAAAATTTAGGATTAATAGTATTTTAGTGTCGAAAGTATACATATTTTATCAGTTTAGTCACTATTGTATTAATTTTGTTAATTTGATATCTAAAGTATTTAATTGGTGTCATTTTTTATTCCTAAATAGATGGACCGTTAAGTTTTTAATATAATGATCACGTGTTTGACACATAATATTGTCTAAAAAAAATAACACGTAATCACTTCTGTCAAAAAACTTGACGAATTGTCTGATTAGGAATTAAAGTGACACGAATTCAATACTTTAGTGATCAAATTGACATAATAAAGACTAAACTGATAAAATATATATTTTTTAATTACCAAAAATACTATTACTCCTAAAATTTATAACAGGAGAGCTGCCCCCACTAGGACTGTTAGTCGAACGAGCCCGAGTCGAGTTCGAACCGAACTTGAAAAGATTGTTTCTTAATCAAGTTTTAAAAATTGTTTAAGTTCGACTTGTTTAGAAAACGGGTCAAGCCTGAACAAGCCAAACCCGAGTCGAGCCCGAGTGTTTGCACATAAAAGAGCCGAATTTGTCGAGTTTGAGCCAAGCTTGTAGGGCTTATATTCTAAACGAGCCTAAAAATTTGTTCAAGTTTAGACTCATTTAAAAAACGAACCGAGTCTAAATAAGCTGAACCCGATCCGAACTCAAGCCAAGCTCAAATAGCTTAGCTTGATTAACAGCCCTAGCCCCCACTTTCCGATCTGGAGCTTGTCATATGTTTCATTTCTTTTCTTTTTTTGAACTGAATATGTTTTTATTTACTTAGCCAAAAAAAAAAAAGAAGTTGACATTTTGATTATTTAATAGATGGAATGAAGCCAATAAACCGCTACCATGGTGTAATGCAATTGAGCTCAAAAGTCTTTGATTATGTTCGAACTTTTTCTTTGTTCTACTCAAGATGTGCGCAAGTGGTTTCGGTTTGTAAATCATTTCCTTCAAAATTAATAGTTAATCAAAATATCGTTTTAAAACTTTTAAAACATTCTGTTTTTGACCGAAACGAATAATTAATTTAGTCGAAATTTCAATGTTTTGAAATATTTATATATGTTTTGAGTTGTTTTTGAGATGGTTCAAAATGTTTCTACTAATGTTTTAGAATATTTCTAGGTGTTTCAAAATATTTAGATATATTTAGAACTATGTTTTAAAAATAAATTTTTCATTCGTTTTCATTATATTTTTGAAACGTTTCTATTTTTTAAGTGATCGAAATAATACGTCAAAATAATATTTTAATCCTTAGACAAGAGATGGAGTTCTACTCGGGATTAGGTTTTAGGGTAAAAGAGGCCGACAACTATGAAGGGCTAGGTTGGGATTGCCGCTGTCGAGAATGCTACACATGTGGGGCCTTATCAATGAATAGTGTTGAAACCTAGCCCTACTATATACGAATGTTGGACCTATCTTTCATTTTCAAAGATTAAATTCATTGATTATGGGACTACCAGTCACATTTAAGGTGATATCTTTCTTTTTCTATCTCGTTCTCTTTTATCTATCATTATAAAGTTGCATATTATTCAATCAAGCTCAATGATCGTCGTAGAAAATCTCAACATGATGAAGCTGAAAAAATGGATCGATGAAAAATGCATGGTCACTGAAAAAATACTTGTGGCTATGTGAAGAGTTCAAAAGCATATATGGGAAGCATCCTGTAAATCGTCTAGACAGGTCCTAGAATGTCATTCATGAACTACAAATACACACATTTCTCCTCTGACTTGCATTTGGTTTGGATACTAAAGATGATATATATCGATATTCACAGAAAACAGTTACCAAATGATACAGGAAAGAGAAAAGCTCAATCTAATTCAACTTAACATCGTATAGAAATCAAGAGTTCATGTACTGTATTAAGAGTAGAATCACACTGAAAACAGCCAGAAGTTACATACTGTCTGCTAGTTTGTTTTGTAGGAGATACAGCATGGGGGAGCAAGCAATATATCAGTATCACATCCATCAGACAAGCAGTAAGATTTTACAAATTGTAAGAGAATCAACTACCACACTTAGGGGGGGCTTCTTCTCCTTAACCTTTTATTGCTGGTGCACCAAAAATCCATGTCGATAACCTTTGATAGACAGTGAATCGAGTTTGGATCGTACAAAAGTAATAGAGTACAATGATCAAACACCGCGGTAAAGAAATGGAGCACACCTGGCCCAATTGGCGATACTCCAAGCGCGTCCCTTTTTCTTCCCTGCAGCCGATCTGGTGATCTCTGTTTCGTTTTTCTTCAGCATATCCCACAAGACATGGACATCCTCATACTCACAAGTCCTCACGTCATGGCGTAGCTTCACGAGCCCTGAGTTTTCAAAAACAATAATCACAGTTGGCTAACCCACATGCTTGATAAATGCAATCTTCAAAATATAAAAGCAGAAAGCAGCTCAAGAATCAAATGGTTTATGGTTGGGAGGTTCTCATTAGCCCGACGATCTAAGGGGAGCTGCAAATGGACTGAATGGAGCTGAGCTCACGATTGTTTAGATTCAACTCAGCTTGCTCACAAGGAGAGGTGGGGCAGGCTAAGGATGATAACAAACATCTTGTTTAAGCTTGACTCTTTAGTTTTTTTTTTACAATCAACTTAGAACAGCTCGATTAACTTAGATTTAGATCTTAGCATGTATATGAAATGTTGGCATAACTATAGGTAAATGTGGTAATAAATTACAAACTATATCAACCAATAGACTCCTTGTGGTGACTAACTGGAAAGAAAAATAAGAAGGAAAAAAAATGAAAAATTTTGGTCAATGATTGATGCACCGACAGTTCCCAACAATTGATGTAGACCCACGCCACTCATTGGTTTCATAAGACAGATGATTAAGACTAATCCACTACCTTGTCGTATTCAAATAAGACCAATTACAACATAAACCAGTGAGCATATTTCACCACAAAAACAATTTATATTTTATTTAGTCAATCTGTTTCACAAAGCATAAAATGAATACAAAGGTCAGAATCACTGGCTGCAGATGCTCTGCTGTTACAGTAGAGATGTTGTTGGGCAAAACGATATATTTTTGTTAAACAGAACGATTTCGTTTTGTAGTCATTTTTGCTAACAGCATCTATGTGGCTAACATTAACAGCAGAGGAGTCGGATCCAATATTATTCCGTACAAGAATTAACAGAATGCCCTGCAACCATTATTTTCGAAAGGGGAACTCTACAATACCGTGAAAAAAAATTTGGTATTAGTACCTTTGATTACTACTTTAGATGGAGAAGAGATGATGATTGATCACAAACACTCATGATGATCGATCAGGAAAATGTGATATTAATCCTACCATTTCATGATCATGCCCAACTTACACCTAACAAAAATTGTAATTCAGTTTTAAGAAAAATTATAATTTTCAGTACCGATATCACCAAAATTACAGTAGAACTTCGTTTTCGAAAAGGGATTTGAACACAACGGTGTGTAGATTTATACACATCAAGCTTATTGATAAACTAGCTGTAATATTAAATAGATACAATATGGAAATCGGTGGGGAAATGGGAACGGAGCTAACCGGTTTTGCGAATTCCGAGACGCTTTGCGACGCGGATCCAAACGTTTCGCACAGGAACCACCATTTTACCCCACCACTCCATCGTCAATTATATGATGTATATGTAATATCCTCTAACCGTCAAGAGAAATTATGCGCTTCCAAGCCCAGCTCCGGCCAGAGGAGAGAGAGAATCAAAACATGACTATACTCCTTGATTTCCTGAACAATATCAACAGATTTCAATACACACACACACACAAATATATATATATATATATATAGATATATATAATACATGAATCAACGATCGAAGGAGTTTAAGAACCTGAAGCGAAAAAAAAGATCGGCGGAGAAACAAAAAATTTCGCAACACCTCTTTCTGATCTTTCTTCTCTCTCTGGAAACAGTGGAAGGGGACGTCAGTCAGCTAATATAATTGGTTGGTGACGATTTTTATGCTGGCGTAATCATGGATTGATAGGGCGCCACGTGTCATCGTACTGTCGTTGAGAAGGCCGTTGGTCGGATCCAATGCTCGTAGTGTGAGCGTTGATTGCGATGTTCTCTGGCCGGTAATTGATTTACTCGTCCACGTAGAAAGTTCCTATTGGGTTCTTGTTTTGAGGATGGTACGGCCATGTGCGGATATTATTCGCTGTGGACCTCACTCACTTACGAGAAAGAGAAAAAGAGTAACGCTATTGTATTTATTCGCTCGTACGTGAAAAACTGTTCTATATTATTCCACGTGGAACAGTATTAACGGCCATGTGAATAAATTATTGTTTTACCAAATCTTTATCCCAAATAATATAAAACAGTTTTTCACGTGTATCTCGTTAATATTTGATGATGAAGATTGTATCACATTAGTTAGTACGAAAGATTTGATAAATTCTTTTAATAAGCATTGCATTTTTTTGAAAAAAAATTTTAATCGGTCACACCACATCACTATTGATATGTGACAACAATATTTCATAATGAGCAATGTTATTGGAACCTAATTTACTAATATAATTTGTTGACCTAATTTATTGTAATATTTGAATTGATTGTAGTCTCTTTCAAACATTAAAACTTGGTGTTGGTCTAATAATTCCTATAAAATCACATCATTATGTCAAATTTTTAGATTCAAATAATATTACTCTTTTATAATAAACAGACAAGATGAACCTTACTCGATGGTAATCACATGGCATGGAGAGATGGTTAGTAAAATGAGTAATGCTATTTGAACATAAAAATTTGACCTAATTTGTTGATTAAATAATATAACTTAATTAGAAATATTTAATCAATACCAAATTTTAATGTTTGATAAGATTCACAGTCAATTTAAATGTCACAGTGGATTAGGTCAATAAATTGTATTTCAATAGCGTTGTTCTAATAAAATATATGGAATCCACTTACTCACTTGTAGATATAAGATGATGACATCACATATGAATGCTGACCTGGTATCACCATTATATCCAATATTTTTTTCGTACCAGAAAACATTTATTTATGACATCAAGTATAATATTTTGTTTCCCACTATATATTCTTTATTATATTTTTACTTAATTTTAATCAATAATAAATAACTATCATAAATAAATATAGAGACCCGTCATTTATTACTGAATCCATCACTCATACACATAAATTATTTATTATTAAATAAAAATTAATATTTTATAAATTTAATTTAGAGACTTAATTCAATATATCCATTAAATTAATTGTAAGTTTCAATATCATATGAAATCTACTTTTTAATTCAACAGTTGCATTGAGTTAAGTCCTCAAATTAGATCTAGGTTCAAATAATTTTTTTTTAAAAATAAAATTGAGTAAAAATATAATGTAAAAGTTCTCATCCATTTTTTGCCCAAATTTGGAGGTCCATGGGCTTGTCAAAACGTGGGACACCCAAGCTATTTTGTGGTTGCTCCTTAATCATGGACCGGGCCAATATCAAGGGATACTTGTGAGGGTAATGATGGGCTATAATTTTCTTATTACTAAAAATACTATTTTTTTTTTGTGAAAATCGGAAGAGAGTCCTCCTACATGTACTTATTTGAAGATAAGTCCTGTAAGAAAATTTATAGAGGGTTAAGTTCATATTTAAAATTATATATAATAACGTAAGTCCACTTTTCGTTTTTTTTTTATCTCAAAAATATCCTTTTTTAAAAAGAAGTTAATTTTTTCTCTCTCATACATATCTATATCTATTTATAAGTTAAGAGTTTAACTAATATTAAATTTTTTTCACTCTTTTATATATATATATATATATATATATATATATATATATATATATATATATATATATATATATATATATATATATATATATAAAATAATAACATTCAAATAAAAAAAAAGTTATTTATGAATTTGAATAGTAAAATTCAAATTCATGTTACTATTTTTTTTATTATGTTACTGTTCATGTTACTGCTTTTGTTGAGTATGTTACTATTCATGTACTATTATTTTTGAGCATATTATTATTTTTGTTGAGCATGTTACTACTATTATTTTCCTAAATTTTAATATTCAATGTTACTATTTTTTTTTTGAATATTTTTTTTTATTTGAATGTTACTATTTTTTACTTTTGAATTTGAGAGAAATAATTATTGTTAACTATGTTACAGTTTTTGTTAAGCATGTTATTATTTTTGTTGAACATATTACTGCTCTTATTTTTTTAAAATATTAATATTGAATATTTCAATTTTATTTATGTTTAAATGTTACTCTATGTATATGTATATATATATATATATATATACACACTTGTTATTACCCATGACTGAAGGTACTATACAACAAACAAAAAAATCTTAAACAATTGTCCAAATTAGAAAGGAATAGCCTAAAAATATTTATACAAATTTTTTCTTTCAAAATTGCTCGAAATATATCGATCATATCCTTCATATTAATGGAATTGCCATAAAAATATATAAAAACTTTCCTAAAAAAAAACAAATACTAACATAACCTATTGAAATTACAATCTTTAAGCAATAAAAAATAAATCAAATATTGCTTATTTATAAGACTTACAAATTTATCACATTTACTACCACTCAATCTAATAACACAATATAATTATAAACTCAACCACCATATTTTCAATCCACCTATCCCCATGAAATAAATATCTCAATCAAAAAAAAAATATTAACATAACACATTAATTTCACAATTTTTAAGCGATAAATAAAATCAACTCAAATCTTACTCATTTATAAAACTTATGAAGTTATCACCACTATCACCATTCAACCCTCAAATGATATAATATAAATATAAATTTAATTGTAAGTGTAAAATCCTCCACGTATAAATATACACAAAAACAAACTCACTCACATTTCTTTTTTAGTTACCAACAAACCCTCCTAACTAATAACAACTTTTATTTGAAATACAATAATTCATTTTTTTAAGATAAAATAATATTAAATTAAGAAACAGGGTAAAAATTATGGACATCTTCTGAGTATTGACAATATTACGCAAACACCTTCTGACATTTTATAAATAATACGGAGACCCCCTGAGGTCTAAAATTTATTACATGGAGACTCCTTATATCTCACTTTTGTAAAAATTGATAATTTCATCCCAAAAAACTTTATTACTTTTACAATTATTCTTCTCCAAATTTAGTACCAAAAAAATTAAAAAATTTTAATTTAGTACCCAAAAAATTGATTCAATTAATTTTAATATTAATTTGATAACAATAAAAATTAATTTGACATTAATTTGGTAAAGTTGAATATAAATTAGACAAAATTAAATGTCAATTTTTGATAAAATTATATATTAATTTACAATCTATGGTTCATTCGTGTTGAATATTATTCGGTGTTTATAGTCAATGTGCTATTTTTTTATTTACATTAAGTGTTATTTTCAAATTAAGAAATAAGTGGCAAAATACATGTTATCAGATATATAAAAACTTTGAATTAGTTTCGTCGAATAAATAACTGTATAACATTTTTATGTAGTAAATAATAACAAAAACAACACAGGAAAAACAAAAAAAACAAAAAGATAATAATATGAGAAAGAGAGTTATATGAGAGATAGGAGTCTTATAATTATAAAATGAATAAAAGTTCAATTAGGATCATCGGATGAAAACGATCTGAGCCGCGAAAAACTCAAGACAAACAATCTAGTTATTTTATTATATAGATATATGAAAAAAATTTAATGTTAGTCAAACTCCTAAGAATTAGAAGTTTTTCATTTTTAGTTTTATTTCACTTCTAAGGGGAATAAATAGTATGGTAAAATTAACAAAAAACAAACTTCATAACAAATAAATTTCCTTGACAAAGTTCAAACAAGTTCATATAGAGAGACCGCCCTCCAAATTTATCTTTTTTTTGTCACATCACAAAGTTACATGTGTAAAAATGTTTTTATTTTTAATTTATTATTTTATGATCAATAATTATAAATAAATCTAAAAGCTATGATTCAATTAATTTTTTTATATAGTGCTAAAAAAGCATTTTTCAAACCTATAATCATATTCGAGTAATAATATATGGGTTATAGGGTAAGATTATGGTATTAGTGTCGATATCATACCGAAATACATTCTAACCAATAATTTTATTTGGAATGATTTGTGATCATTGGTTGAAAAATCGTAAAACTTCACATGTGACAAACTTTAGTGGATAAATATTTGAAGTACAAAACTAAAAGAGCACCTTTCGGTACCGTAATGAGACTTGGGTTATATATTATTCTAAAAGGTTGCAATATTACACCTATGTGATGTTGCATTATTGTTCCATCTATAGTTGAATTTAGTTGGGGTAGTTAACTAGGGTACCCAAAATAATAGTAATAATAATATCATACTTCTATTTATTACATGTGGTTACTTTTATTACATTTGTAAGAATTTTTATCATTGTTGTGATACCAAAAAAAAAAAAAGTAAAAACAATTACTACAAATATAATAAAAACACCCATAAAATTGGTAATTTTTTTATACCGAAGAAAAGTGATAAAATTAATTATTATTACTATTGTTAAAACACCTACAACAGTGATAAAAACATTCACAAAAATAATAAATTAACCATAAAAGTGATAAATTTTTTAGTTATAAAATGACCCCACAAAAGTTATAAAAACACCCTTTAAAATGATAAATTTTAGACGTTTGGTACCAGAATATTTTTGGCTCTACCGTAATCAAGTCCTTAGTTGGTATCATCGGTTCTTTTTCTATAGATCTTGTCGGCATCTAGTAAGATTCAGTGAACTTAATGAGGTGCCCATGATTCAAGAGCAGGCCTACCAAGTTTCATGTTAGTTTAACCCAGCTTGAGCCTATCTGTGCTCGTTGCAGATCCCTTCTGAATCTTTTCCTAATGCAGCTCCAATCGGCTTGTTTGGATGAGGATGTATTATGCTTATGAAACTACACTTCTTTGCTGCCATGTCAACAAAAAAAGAAAGAGTTGCAAAGTTATTTTAATAGAGCAGTACATTACCCGTCAAAATAGTTTGGATAGAAAGATCACAAGTTATCCGATACTTCTTGTTTTATGATTGACTACACCCATCCAGAGTTTGCACTATGACACCTAAATTATCCCCACATAGCCAATGGTTTTACCTCCCAATCTCGATCAATCATCGATTGCTAACTATATAGTAAAGTTGCTCAAAACCACCATTCCTGACACAAATGTAAGATCCTATGCCCAAGTTTCTAATCTCAATCATGTTTATGTACAATTCAAGATCCTTTGCTTAAGTTCCTAGGTTATATCAGTTGGTTATTCTCTGTAATTTAAGTTTTATGACATCTTCATACAACTACCTGTTTAACAATTGATTGAAGCAAATTGAAAATTCAAATGCACTCTTGTGCAGTCAATAGGCTGAACCAATTTGAGATGATATTGCTCCTCAAACCAAATGTAAACGATCGAGTCAAAAGAATCAACCAACTGATTATCATATGAGATATTAGAATTCAGTGTAAGAAAGAATTTGTGCAAATTCCACATGATTTTCCTTTCCACAATTACCCTGTATGGATAAAGTTAACATAATACAACCAGCAGACCTATATATTCCAACAATAAATGAATAAATAAACAAAAAGAATGCATGGAAAAAAATGGGTACATCAAATATCGAACCACCGTCATGATTCTCTGAACTGAAAGTAGGTAGTTACCTGCAACTATTGAATTTGAACTTAACCAAACAATTAACTTCAGCAATCTGTGGTCTCTCCACCAGCAGAGTTAAACTTGCAGAACTTTGCTGCTCTCCTACATCCTCAGAGATAATACGGAGGTGTGTAGAAGTAAAAGAATCCAAAACTAATCTGCAGCTGCTTTCGTTAAGCTTGCCATATATGTCAAATATATGGTCCACACGTAAGAGAACGAACTATTCATCAGTGGCTGCCAACAAACATGCCAAAAATATAAGCCATTTGAAGAATCTCATGCTTGGATGTTTTTGGCTCCCTCTTTGAAACAAGTACACTTATAAACAAATTCAAACAAACGAGACCTAAATGTACCTGTAAATGTACAGGGATAATTTTGTAAGTGAAAAAATCACAAATTGGCCAGTACATAAGACCACTTATCAATGTTGGAAGCAGATCCCGCTTCAATCTGGCAGCAATCTCAAGCCCACTTTCACCTGAATGTGGCACCAAAACAATCATTGAAAAGATTGAATTAAAGCAAGAACAAACATCTCAGGGAATAAACTAAGAAATTGAAAAATCTTAGAAAATGCAAAAAACAGGTCAACCATAAATCACCTAAATCATTCAAAACATTGTCTCTATTTTGTCTTGCCACATGGCATGCGCAACTCGCCATAAAGCATTTTTATATTCTGAACTCACATAAGAATCACTGAGCCTCCTTCACTTTAGAACCATAGCACATCAGTAGCTACCACGGGGATCTATCTTGCAATCTTTTTATGGCATGGCAAAGGTTAACAGCACCAATTTTTCCTCTATTCCTTAAACTTTAACACCTAAACAGGATGAAGAACCCATTCCTCATCTTCCAATCAATTACAAGCCACTTACATGTGTAACACCAGAACATCCGCTATCATTCGATACACTTTTTCTTCTCTTTTTATTTGATTACTGGAATTCAACCATGTTTGTCATAAACCTTTATAACCTCTTGCTACCTACCAAAAACTTGTTTTCAAGGTTATACTCTTCTTAGCTCCTTATCATCACTCCAGTTTAAAACAAAAATTGTAGAGAGAGAGAACAAGTGGAGTCCTAAATATACTTCCACACAAGTGCTTGGAATTAGGATGATCCTGCAATGAGATAAATTATGAATAGCACTTGATTCAACAATAGTGTAGGCTTTACTTGTTTAGTATCAAATCGTAGGTTTATGAATTACCAAAGGATTAGGCTGGAATCTGAATAGTTTTGTGGGCTTTAATTGTTTTAGTTTGAAGGACAGAGAATTATGTTTACGACTTTGTAGAAATAAGAGATGGTGCAATAAGGAATGGTAGGGGTGCTACAAGGAATGAGATTGGCGCTAATGAATTTCCAGTTGTCCCAAATGGTGAGCCACCACTGAATGCCTTTGTGGATATTGGGAGGGCATTGAATGGAATCACGCGGATCCTTGAAGGACAAACGTCCAATCCGAATAGAGGACAAAATGCAACTAAGAAACTCACTATTGAGCAGTTCAAGAAGATGGTGCCTGCCATCGCACAGACTATTACCCGGGCGGATGCAGATTACTAGGGTTATTGAGGTTGAGAAAATATTGGACGTCTCAAAAAATGATGATGACAAGAACTTGAAGTATGCAGCTTTCATGTTTAAGGGAGAAGCTGAACATTGGTGGAGGATGAAGAAAGAGGAAATAAATATCTGATAGCTCCAATGACTTGGAAGCAATTCAAATCCAGATTCTTGGATAAGTATTTTCCACAAGTGGAAAAGGACCATCTGGCACAAGAGTTTCTGCATCTGATTCAGGAGAGCATGATAGTTGATCATTACGAGGTGAGATTCACAGTTAGCTAGGCATGCCAAGCACATGGTGGCAGACAAGCAACATAAAACTAGAAAATTTTAAAGAGGCATGGAGTGGAGCATTAAAGAGATGTTGATCGTCTTGGAATTACCAACATACATATAAAAAAGTTGTGCACAAGGCTCAGGTTTTGGAGGGTAGCGAAAAGGAGAAACATAGGGACATGAAATGATAAGAAGAGGATAGACTGAATAGGTGACATCACGGGTGGTTCTTAAAAATCCCACTCTTCTTGAAATTCTGAGAACCACCCCTGAAGTCATTCTTGTTGCTATTAATTGTGTTCTTCAAATGTAAATTCCTCTTGGTTTGGTGATGAAATTCTTCCTGTATACTAAATGAAAGTAATAGAAATGAGAATACAAGAAAAATAAATTACAAAACTAGTGGATTGTCTAGGAAGTTCAATCACCTACCAAGTATTGGAGAGCACCTACAAATCATGAACGTTGGTTGGAAAGCCACAAGAAGGACCAAACTTAAAGCCAAACCACTAGACTATAAGTGAATTTCCTCTCACTCATGTTTATTGAGTACTATCGATAAGCGATAACACTAGTGGTGTTGGTAGTCAAAAGAATAACAATAGAAATGCAGCTTATTCATGTAAGAGTACAAGTAGATGATTTGTTGTACCTTGTAGAATTGCATTGAAGGAGAAGAAAATGCCAGTAACAGTAGGTCCATAAATGAGCTGCCCCCCAAAAAGCTTCTTCAAGGTAGTGACTACATCTCGTTTTGGTAGGACCCTTGCCATGAAATTGAACCACAAATGTTGCGCCGGCCCTAAGATAAGCAGTCCATAGCCCGCCATGCGTAACGTCCGTATTGAGTCAAAAGAACCAGAAGGTGGCATTGTAATCATCTGATATGTATTCAAATTATTATCACCTAATGAGTATGCATCAATTATGAACAAATTATTACCTCTACAAACCATGAAAACAGAAGCTGACTTGCAGCAATTAGTATATGCATCAATAATTCAAAATGGTATTTGAGAATAAGATTCATATTCAAGATGATTAGTTAGGTGGTGAAGTGATCAGGCTCTCACACAGGACCAGCCATGTTCGAGTCTGCAAGATGTGCAACCATGCCACAAGCTAGGTATGCATCCAATCTACCCCTCGCTACCCTGCTCAAGTGGGATCACACCAGGTTGTAACCTGTTCCATTATTGTGTGCTCCAGTTCTCTGCACATGCAGCAGGTCCAATGGTTTGCAATTTCGCACTCCGGCTTGATTTCACCTTATTCAGTTTAGCTAATTCAACTGATCAAAATATGGAGATACGTTGTGCATAGAACCCTATCTATCAAAATTGATCAATGCTCGGCCTTAATCCCATGTGGCGCGTAGTACTACTACATATAAATTGCAGTGGTCCGACAATTTTTGTGCCTCAGTTTTCTTGATAGTTTTCTTGATTCAGGAGTCATATGTGTTGTAAATTTGGAATTCGTAATATTATATACAAGTTAAGCTACAAAATTCTATGTTTACCGTATTGAACCAATTCCTTCTATCAATGGAAATTCTTTTGTTTACCCAAAAAAAAAAAAGAAAAAAAAAAAGCTGCAATATTCTATGTTTTTAATCTAATATAAACAACATTCGAAATTCCGAAGATAGTGGGTTCTGCCCGTAATCGACAATTCTCTTCATATGCAAACACAAACACATTTACAATCATGTATAGGGTTTACCTGAGACGTCAAATCGGCAGCTGCGTAAATTAGACAAGCTGAGACGCTTTTTGTAAGAACAGGGCGTGACTCGAGCATTCCCAGATACCACGAAAGAAAACCCATCCTCGGATTAGACGGAGAAGACAATGATGAATATGAACTATACAAATACGATGAATATGCCGGCCGAGAAATTTCGGAAACCCTGGTTTTGCCGGATTGGCAATGAAAACGAATGTAGTCTCTACACTGTTGTTGGTATGAAAGACATAGGGATTCGTTCCAAAAACCCGAATTGGAAGCTAAACGACGTTTGGGAAGACGAAGGATTGTTCGTTTGGCGATGTTTCGTAAGAAATCGATCCCCATTTTCTCTTGGGATTTCCTATTTTTTGGGGGTGGTTTTTGGAGGAAACAGAGTTGAATCTGTGTCTGTCTCTGTGTTTTGGAGATTGGATTGAATAGGGTGTTCAATGCAACACGTAACTCATAGTTGCGGGATTGAAGAGAAAGAAACTGCTGAAATTTATGGAGTTTTTCGCGGCTTCTTTGGTTAGGAAGCCTGAGCTGTTACTACTGGGCTAAACAGCTTTGCATTTGTTACAAAAATTATGCTTATGTAGTAAGAAAAAATGGGGGTAATGGGTGGATTTAGGGGTCCTATTATTTTAATAACTATCTATAATTATCTTATTATATTTATTGTTTTATATTTTTACACATAATATTTACTTAACCCAATTAATTTTTTTTTAAATATATTTTGAGTCAATTACATAAATTATATTCGGTCATTATATTATACTAAAGGTCATATTTTATGTTAAATTGTAACTTATACAAATACACGGCAAATTTCTCTATCTATGCATCACATTAATTATGGAGTTGACTGCTATGATAGTCTAATTAGATTCGTTTTCGAGAAGAGTAATGATCGTTGTCAGAGGCCTCATAATTTTACTAGTGAAAGCTTATAAATATGGTTTTTGAACCTTCTCTTTTGCTCCCACCCCTTCTTCTACTAACAAAAATAAATAAATAAATAACTGTGTTGTTTGGTCGAACCAAGACCGATACATGCAACGGTTATGAATCATGTTAAAATATACTTGGTGAAACTCATCGATCATTCTTTTTTGTTTTAATTATCTCCTATATAAGATCGAATTCATTAGATTTCTAAAATTTTTTATTAATCTTTTGATGGGACACTTCTTGGAGACTATTGGATTTACAACGCGTGTCCTCAGCGCCGAGGTACATATTTTCCTTTGACGAATCCACGTGTCCTCGGCATCGAGGTACCTCTTTACGCTGCCGAAGCCACGGGCCCTCGGCACCAAGACCCCTTACTCTGTATACATGTTCCTCGACGCCTAGGCATATGCCCTCCCACCCGAGGGGATATAGGTGTCCTCGGCCCCGAGGGTACTCCCATCGTGCCTACCCCAAGTCTTCAGCTTCTAGGGAGGGTACTGATTGACAGCTGAACAGTATAAACTAGACTAGGAGTCAGGAGGACGCTCTGCACAATGGAGTCAGAATGACAGGGTGGACTGGACACTTAACCAAAGAGAACCAGACACGTGGTGTAAGGTATAGGACGTAGTGTTAGAAGACTGATCTACCCCTACTGATAAACGGTTGTTCCAGGCAAGCATTTAATGAATCCCCAAATGATGTGACATCTACAGTCGCTTGAGAAGCCGAGGATAGGGGGTATTAAATGTCCTGGCCCCCTGCATTTAAAGTATTTACATTGAAGAAAGAACATTAACCGCTCAGGAGCCCGAGCAATCAATACTGGGACAATTCCCACGCAAAATAGGGGGCACACTACCCCGTTTCTAAACATTACCTACTGACTAGACTGTCAGCAATGATTAATCTTTGAATGTATAAATAGCCCTTAAAAACACATTGCAAAGGTACGCAAAATCATCTCACAAGAGTCATACACAGTGTTTTCCTCTTCCTCTCTCTCAAAGAACTAACTTGATCGTCGAAAGGGGATATGCCGAAAAACACTCCGATGATATTCTAACTTGCTTATTGTGTTCCAGGAACCTCCTACAGTCCATCAGAACCGGTCAAGCACCTCCTGAGATAATTCATCACAACCCTTTAAACCCCCTTTAGCCCTTTCAACTCTTTCCTTGTTGTCAGATCAACTACCTCGATGGACCTGAGTTCACCACGGGAGAGATCTATTCCCATTTCAACTATTGTGCGAAAATTATCCTGCACAATCTGGCGTCTTCTATGGGAAACGATTAGATTTTTCAAAGAACAATGACCATGGTGAATACTCGACAAAAAGGGAAGGGTCCCCAATAAAGGTATCTTGATTTACCAATTCCATCGTTGTCAAGAACGAAAGATCATGTCAAAAGTGCCAACAAAGGGCTCTCCGATCATTCGAGGGAGCAAACCCACCAAACTAGTATGGGTATCGGATCTGGAGGGTTTGCCCCATTGGCCCGTCAACTAGTCGAGGTGATTGAAGAAAAGTTTGGGGATCGGTTGCGTTAGTTGGAAAAGGACAACGTGAATGTCCTCAGCCACCTCGACGAATTTGCAGCTTCCGGTGGAGGATCTTGAAACTCGTTACGGTCCCGGGAACCTTCCATTAGGGAGGTGGGACTTGAGGATCTGAGAAATCACTTGAATAGCAGAATAGGGAGCTTCAAGGCTCCAAAGCGCCCGAGGGCCAAGGGATAGCTCCCGGAGGTTCCAGCCAAGTGAGCTAGGATGTTGACTTGGGACGACCTCCGTCGGGGGCTGTCCAAGCGAGGGGGTGTGGAGGAGTCTGAGGAGGGGTCAACCGTCTCTGTCCGGCACCTAGGGACTGGGGATCATCCTGTTCGGCGCCGAACGTATAAAGAGATGTTCCCCGAGCAGAGGGATGACCTCAGAGCTCGGCTGGATTCCAAGAGAAGGGGTAAAGCGCCATGGGAGGATGATACCGACGATGAAGTCATCCAATCGCCTTTCACAAAAACAATTATGAAGATGGAGGTACCAAAGAAGTTTACGGTACTCAAGTTCAAAACTTACGACGGAAGATCTGATCCCGAAGCCCATCTCAGACAATACAAGCAGATGATGTCTCTGTATCACTCAGACCACCGACTGCTGTGTAGGGTATTCTCTATGAGCCTTGGGGATTCTGCCATAAAATGGTTTGAGACTCTTCCACCCAACAGTATAGGGTCATGGAAGAAGTTGACCAGGTAGTTCTCCGACCGGTTCATTACAGGGAACAGGCAGCCCAAGGACGTTGGTTCTCTCCTAAAACTAAGATGAAAGGAAGGAGAAACCCGCCGCCAGTATGACGTTCGCTACTAGGAGGAGGTAAATGAGGTGAAGGGATGTTCTGAAGTCATGGCAGTTGCCTCCTTCACACTCGACCTCTCTCGGGAAATTGATCTCTATCGGTCCCTCACCAAGAAGACGCCAGCAGATATGGGTGAGTTGATGGCCCGAATAAATAAGTACTCCCAGATCGAAGATGAGGCAGTAGGAGAAAAAGGAAAAACCCTCGCCCCTAAAAGAGAAAAGGAAAAAGAGGGCGAACTTCCCTAGAAGGGGTTGGTACCTCCGTCTGGAAGTTCCTTTAAAGAAGTTCACACGGTGTTCAAGGAGCCCATCTACATATTACTGTATAAAATTAAGAAGGAACCATTCTACAAATGGCCGCCCAAGATGTAGGGTGATTCGTCCACCCGAAACCTGAAGGTAAAATGCTCATTTTTTCAGGATTATGGGCATCTCACCGAAGATTGTAAGGTCTACAAGTCTTTCTTGGAGAAACTGGTACAAGATGGGCATTTAAAGGAGTACATTGAGATGACATCCAAGGAGGGTCATGGCACCAATAATCTAGCCACCATCCAAGGCAATGTAATCGATGTTATCCACGCTACTCGCTAGAGCGTCCTACATCCAAAACCTTACAATCTGATCTCAAGAGGCTAGCGTTCACAAGAAAGCTTGATGAGGGAGATGGGGGCCAATCGAGCAAAAGGCCCCGAATTGGAGAGACAACCATCACTTTTTCTAACACTGATCTTATAGGCGTGGCTCTCCCCTATGGAGATGCTTTGGTCCTGACCTTGAAGATCACCAACTTTGATGTTAAGAGGGTCTTGGTGGACTCCTGAAGTTCCTCTGAGTTGATGTACTTCGAAGTCTTAAAATGCATAGGGCTTGGGATTCAAGACCTCACCAAAGTCAAGACGCCCCTCATCGAGTTCAACGGTTCATTTGCCCTGCCTTTGGGCAAAATCATATTGTCAGTTACTATTGGGCCCATCACTGTCAACACAGAGTTTGTAGTGATCGACTCTGACTTGCCCTACAATATCATAATGGGACGGGCCTGGTTGCATGCCCTGGGGGCTGTGCATTCCACCTACCATCAAAAATTGAAGTTTCCCACCCCGGAGGAAGTGAAAGAAATCCATGGGGACCAAGCGTCTGCCAAAAACTGTTTTTATTCTACAGGGGTTGCCTCCAGGGAGAAGCGAGCCCTAGAAGAGATTTTAAACAAATAGCAATTACAGTCCAGGCGTCTTGGAATAGACGACCCCTGGACGGATCCAGTAGATCACTCGGTGGAGGATCTCTAGAAGGTATTCTTGGTGGACGAAGGTGAGGAAAAATACTTTCTGATCGGCTCCACCATGCCCCCGGAAGAGCAGGAAGAGATGGCAAACTTTCTTAGAAGAAGTGCAGATTTGTTTGCATGGGACGTCATGGAGATGAAAGGTGTAAGCCCCAAGGTGATAACCCACAGGCTGCATGTTGATCCCGCCCATAAACCAATAAAGTAGAAGCCACGACGCATGGCGCCACACCATGCCCAAGCAATAAATAAGGAGGTAGAAAGGCTCTTAGGGGCCAACACCATCCAAGAAGTTTAGTTCCTAGAATGGCTGTCAAACACAATGTGGGCAAAAAAAAAAGGAAGGGAAGTGGCACATTTGCGTGGATTTCACTAATTTAAACAAGGCTTGCCCCAAGGATGACTTTTCCCTCCCGAAGGTGGATCAGTTGGTGGATGCCACAGCAGGGCACTAGCGCATGACCTTCTTGGACGCCAGAGCTGGCTACCACCAGTTCCCTTTCACCCATCCGACCAGGATAAGACCGCCTTCATCACTCCAAATGGGGTTTACTGCTACATGGTCATGTCGTTCGGCCTAAAGAATGTAGGGGCGACTTATCAAAGACTTATGAATCAAATGTTCAAGCCCCAGATTGGCAACACCATGGAAGTATACATTGATGACATGTTGGTCAAAAGTAAGAGAAACAAAGATCACTTAACCAACCAAGATGACACCTTTGCAACCCTCCGAGAATATGGATTAAAGCTAAACGTGGCAAAATGTTTCTTCCGAGTTGGATCCGGAAAATTTCTCGGATATCTAGTGAGCCGACGTGGAGTCGAGGCCAACCTAGAATAGATACAAGCTATCCTAGACGTATAGAGTCTCTGCACAAACCGGGAGGTTCAAAAACTTATAGGGATGTTAGCGACATTAAATCGTTTCATCTC